AAACACAAAATGTCTATTATGTCTAAAATCAAATTATACATTTCTTCGAATCGAAAATCGAAAAAGGTTATATGGTTTAGTAATTTTCAAAATATTTGCGAGGATTCTAAATTTATAGATTTAATTTCGAAAAATTATTTTAAAGTTAATATTATTGAAGCTTTTTCCACTTTTTTTATTATAATATTTAAGACCGTTACATTCTTCACTCCACGGAGAACAGAATTTGAAAGAAATATTAAAGAAAAAGTATTTCTATAGTTAATTTGATAATTTTCTCACTAAAGTTAAAAAAAAAGAAAAAACCATTAGCTTCGGTTGCACGGAAGCTATAATAACTTTCACATATTCTAAATTTTCCTTACAAGAGCTTGATTGTGATCGTGCAGCTAATATGCCAGCTATATGCTATAGTGATTGGATCTGAACAGTTATTTCGGAGATTGCATCATAAAAAAAAATCCATGCTATATTTCGTGAAGATGGACATTTCTTGTCAAATGAATAAGTTTTCCATGACACAACTTGAGTTGGATCGGTCAGGTTTTTATGGCAGCTATAAGGGTTTGATATTGGCGGTTCCGACATATAAGCAAGATACCTAAATCGACTCAGCTCGTCATGCTGATCATTTATATATATACTTGTATGTATTTACACCGACATTTCCTTCTGGGTATTACAAACTTCGTGGCAAACTTAATACGCATATAGGTACCCTGTTCGGGGTATGAAAACAAAATATACAGGTTGCGACATAATTTATGTTAAAATGTAAATATTGACTTAATTTTACATTTATAACCCAACCTGTATCAACATGAAAAATATTGCCAACCGATTGTCAACGTAACTGCGAATGTGGTAACAAAGTTCTTGAGTTACCGCTATATAAAATAGGTCAAATAACTGCCCACGCTGATCACCACATTTTACTCCCCATGACTTTTATTTTCGGAATTACTAGTAAAACAAAGTTTAGGCCAGCAAACCTCGGACCTTTAACGAGTTCAAAGCAAACATTTATAGCTAAATCATCGATGCACCCACCGTGATTCTCAAAAAGTTACAGGAAACGATAGCAAAAAGAGCTTGATTTTATTGTTGCCAACATGATTGCGATTGTCTTCAAAAACGAATCGAAATAAATTGCAGAGTGCCAAATTAAATAAAAATATCACAAGGAGGGCGATTTTCTTTTTGAAAATCTTGAAGATTTACATACCAACAGATACCACCTTTTCTATATATTACTTTATTTATTATTTATTAGGATATTCCTACTCCTTTCTTATAAAAACTTTTCGAATAGTACAGCTATTGTACACTATATCATATAATATATACATTTATATGTATTTAAATTGTGTCTATATAATGTACATGAGTACGTATAATGCAATTGCCACCTAATCGCGCAAAAAAATGTAATTTATTTCGCACATTAATTATATTCGCACACACATATATATGTAGATAAGTGTGATAAATTATTAAGCACAAAAGAATATGCAAAAACTTGCACGCAAGAATACATACTAACTATACCATATATATGGATATATGTACATATGAGTATCTAAATATGTATCTGAAAAAGTGAAGCAAAACAATTGCAAGCAAATAATGAAAAAAACAAAAAAAAATGAAAAAAGAAAATCGATAAACAAACACACGTAGGTAGTAGATATAAATAAAAACATAAACTCGACTGACCTTCACCTATAAATTGCCAAGCTGCCGGCCGGCGTGTACGCCCCACAACAGAGAAAATGACAACAACAACAACATTCGCGGGCCGAACGCCGGTATCAGGCGCGCCATTATACTACATGCACGGCGCTACACAGCTGATGGAGCCAGCGTATCAATGCTTTGTGCGGCAATTAACTCCACAGAGCGCGCGAACCTCATCAGCGCACTTCCCTCGCCCCCGTCACGCCGTCGACTAGTTGCCTTTTCACCGTAATTGATGTTCGGCCGGCGGCCTGCATGTTGGGCGCGAATGCACAACACCTAAATATTTATTGTTATTATTATTGTTGATTGCGCATTGGTATGCGTGCGGTGACGCCGATTCTACAGTTTTGAAAACAGAAATAGTACCAATAACACCATTGTATGATACATGCCAAAAACAACAAAGTGAAGTGATTTACAAAATGAAAGCCCTCGCGTTTTATTAGAACACTTAGTCGAAATAATTATTATGGCGTTATTTTTTTATATATATTTATATAAAGTAAATTTGGTAAATATTTATTAATGTATTTTTAAAACGATATAGGGTTGCGCTATTTTTAATTAAAAATTATGTTATATTATATATTATTTTTTAGTCACAAAGTCGGAATTATTCACAAAATGGAAATTAAGAATTAAAAATATCATCATTTAACCCAAAAATCAGAAACACAATTGTGAATTTATAATATATTTTTCAATTTAAAGATTGAAGTAACAAATAAAAAAACTATTTTTAAAACAAAAGTTTGAATGAAAGTGGAAAGAAAAGAAAGTATTTCGAATTAAATGTAAATAAGGCCAAAAATTATAAATTAATTAAAATTTTATTATAATCAAGAAAATATGTTAACTTAGTGGCACCGAAGCTGTAATACTCTTCAAAAATATAAAATTGCCTAACAAAAATTGTATTTTGATCGGTCAGTTCGTATGACAGCTATATGCTATAGTGTTCCGATAAGTGAGCAGCTTCCTGAAGAAAAGAGGACGTGTGTAAAATTTCAGATCAATATCTTAAAAACTGAGGGACTAGTGAGTATATATAAACAGACGTACATTGGTAAATCGACTCGGCTCGTCACGCTGATCAAAATATTAAATGTTCAATTTATTATCTTTTGACAAATTTAGTATTATCGCATTACGAAGAAGTCTTTCGGCGGAGGCAGAAGATGACAAAGACGTTCGTAACTTCAGAATGATTTCTTTATAAGTTGACAGTTCAAGTTTTTTAAATATCTGGTCACTTCTGCAGCTCGGGATTCTTGAGATTAACTTTTTTTCAGACGGTCTTTAGGATTAAAATTTGTATTTTTCATAAGATTTTTGGAATTACAAATGTCTAATTTTTCAATCCGGTATTTGGGATGAGAAATTCGAAAATAATTTTTAATTAGTATTTTCGGGATTACATAAGAAAGCGCTAATCTAAATGTTAATTGAAGTAACTTTTTAATGCATTATTTGCAACTCTGAACGATATGTGAAAATTAAATAAAAACTTAAACATAATCAAAATATGTTACCAAAATATATGTTTATAAAATAGAAAAACTTTATTTTTTTTAAAGTAGGTTCCAAACTTTAAAAGGGTCAACCTAATTTTCAAGCAATCTTCCAATAATAAATTTGAGTTCCTAAAATTTTCTAAACCACCCACATCTATTATTTAAAAACATGAATTATACACTTTCATAGTGTTTGTGGATGAGAAATAACCTTTAAAATAAAAAATCAAATAAAAAATAATAATTTCTTAGAATTTTTACTACATCAAAATATTATTTTTCAGTATCTCTAACGAATTTTTCTGAAACGTAGATCTTATTATGTTTAAAATCTAGCTGGATAACAATAAAATACTCTCATTAAATCAGTTCTGGTATACTGGTCCCCCAAAAATAAGAGACAAACTTTCTGTAAGTTTAAGGCGCTCGCATTACTTCAGTTTACCGTATATAACATTTTACAACTTCCGGGAAACTCAATTTCTTAAAAAACTTCCGAGAGCATGATAGAAAGAAAGTCCCAAAAATATAATACGTGGTTCCAAAGAATGTCTAATGCTGTTCGGCTGTCAGATCCCTGTCCATAAACAACTAACGGAAGTGATGCGCTTGCATCAACGAAACGATCTTTCCGTTTTCTAAGCCCCAAATGGCCTTAGAACATGATAAACCGATAATGGCAACAGATTGAAATTAAAAAAGACTGGTTCGAGACGATTGATACCAATGAGCAATTAATACATATCAAGAGTTAGTTTCTATAAACGAACTGAACTGGCCTTGTTTAATTTAAAATATGGATATGAATACATAATTTTTATATGTAGCTTGGATTAACAAGCCTATTTTAAAATCTGTCCTTTATAAGGCATAATCAGGAACGTGTAAGTCACTGACTACAACAGTACACCTTAAAGCGTAGCAGCGTGCATTGAAAGATGGGACTACACAAGAACTCCCAAATTAAGTTATACTCGTAAGCCTCCTCTTATCATGTCATCTAGGCCATTTGGGATGGAGTTCGATCTTTTTAAGAGTTTTGCGAATATCTTTCTTTACAATGGATACTATCGAACCAGTTAACGGAAACCGCTCGGTGAGTGTGAATTAATTATTTCGTATGTCATTTTAGCCGGAACATACCTTCATATACGAGTATTACTGACTCATTCAACATATTTTGACGACAGTGAGCTCTATATTATCGGAACGGAGCTGAATTTTTATGCGATTATGAACTGTCAAGCGCCAGCAATTTTTGAAACTGTTTGGCTAAAGAACATATGCAACTTCCCTTACCACGTTTGATTCCAACTGGATGGTTTCGAATTTATAATCGCCAATGTGCTACAAAACTAATAATGTTGTAATGACATAACAACAAAATGAAAATCTGTTCGGCCAGATATTGAAAATCGAATGCAACTCATTATATGGGGCATGCATATGCAAAAAAGTGGTTCCTCAATTTTTTCGGACTAAAACAACTGCCTCGATCGGAGTTTCAATTCAGAACATTTGTGTCGAACGCACAACAAAAACCAACAAAATGTAAAACTAACCGTTACAATAAAACTCCAACGTTGCCACATAGGAAAAAAGCCAATTACAACAATAAAAAATACGAGCGTTTGTGTACAGTGCAGACCAAAGTAAAAGGCAAATCGAAATAAAAATGTTACCAACCAAAGGAGCGATATCCACTGAAAAGATCTAAAATAATGTCCAAAATAATAATGCCAAATGTTTATTTTTGTGCTTTTGTTTACTATCAACTTCAAAAAAGTCCAGTTTTATTTACATATTTCTTGCATTGTTTTTGCTTTCACAAATTTCATTTCATATTTTCATATTTTGCTTTCTCCTACAATTAAGTAAAATTTTGTACATACAACTAGAATTCAAAGAGAAAAAAATATTTGATAAAAAGCGCTTTAATAGCTAATTACAAACAAGTACAAAAGAAATTAATTATATATTTAAAAAAATAATATAATAATAATGTATGTAGATAGTTCGAACGTAGTAGATATATAGCGATAGATAACTAATAATAATAATAATAGTATTCATAAAAAACGTTTCATATGTCGTTTTTAGCAATAAAAAATATATAGCATTATTTTGAAAATAAAATTAAAGTCCATCATTGTATTTAACACAAACTGAGCGAGTTTTTTGAACACAAGTATTATAATTTAGTTTGTAGTTCAGTCGCGAAACGCAATTATAAAAAAAATGCATACAATTAAACAAATTCAAAAACAAAATTAATTGAATTTTTCGAAAGGATAAATTGCTGTATAACTGAATTTAGAGAGTTTGCGTATTTGCGTCGCTGAAACTAAATTGTATAATGTATGCACTGTGAGAAATTAAATAGTAGCAATTTTTTGTTTCATTGTTTTTGCGTTTGCGTTTTGCAAAATAATAGTAAAAATATATGCACAAGCATTTTATTGTCAAATTGTTTAGGTTTTATTTCATTCTCAATAGTTTTATTTTCAATATTTAATATATAAGCGAAATTGCAGCAAATAATTCAACTAAAATGCCTAACAATGCTGTATTTGCAATGCACAGTTAATTTTTGAGTTATATGCCATTATGCATAGATTTTGTATGTTTGCTTTTGTTTGTATATTCAACTTATGTAGTTTTCAAAACATTCACTAGCGAAAATTGCTTTATAAGTTTTTTTTTATTTTTATTTTTAATTTACATTTTGCGTGTGTCAACAATTTCGTTTACTCTTTTTTTTTTTTTGTTTTTAGTTACTTTTACTATTTTTTACAGTGTATTATATTGTTTATTTGCTGTTTATGTTGTATATAGTTAAAAAAAAAACTAAACTTTTCAGGTGTGTAAAAAAATATGAAAAGTTTATGCGAGGATTTCAGATTTTGGTTGCTCTCCCTTTTGCCGTTATAACCGTAAATTAATGCAAATCATTACAAGTTTTATATTTCACGTTCAATTTTGCTGATTTGTGTTTATTCGCTTTATTACTGTTATTATAAATACATACATATTTATATTAGTTAATGGTTGGCTAACTACAAGTACGTACATATTTATATCCAAATATGTATGTAGGTGTGTGTGGGTATGAGCGTTTGCATGCTGGCCTATTTCATTTGCCGTTGTTTGCTTTGTAAATATTTCAGTTTGCATTTTGTTTTATTTTGAAATTAAATATATTTAAATAATAATATATATAAAAATGTATATTGTAATTATAATTTAATAAAAAAAATAACAAAAAAAATTAATTAGTATTTTTTTATTAAAAAAGAAATGTATATGTATATAGGTATATGCATGTACAAACTTCATTACGTTTCGTTTCACTTGATTTTCATTAATTTTAAGTTTGCATTTTGCGAAAAAAAAATATTTGCTATTGTTCTAGGTTAAGTAGAAAAATACAATTTCGTTTCAATTTGCTATGTGTGTGTGTGTGTTTTTATGGGTATGTGTTTATGTTTTACTTTTTTTAACTATTTCTATTTCTATGTCTATTGGTTTGTATATAAAAAAGGGTATTTTGCTTATTGTACCGGAAGTTACTGTGGTTTTTTTTCTTTGTTTTTTCCTTTTCTTTTCGTTTGCAATTTGCTTGACTTTATGAAATTCATTGAACGAGATTTCTGTTTTATTACTTTTACACACTTGCGCTGCTTTGTTGTTGCATTTGCAGTAAGCATAAAAACCGTTACGCACTTATTTATTTCAAAAATTCATATAATCGTATAGTATTGAATATTTACATGCTTTTATTTGTTATTTTGCAATTATTTATTTATTTGTATGTATGTGTGTGGTATATTCATAAAAACTTTAAATTTCGCAGATTTTAAATTCACAATCCAAAAGCATGCAGTGTTAAAGCGCCAGTAGCGTGTGGCAACACTGTTTTAACCGTTATTTCAATTATTTGAGCAAATCTGTGGTAAAAAATATGGCAACAAATAAAAAAAAAAAACAATATATAGAAGTAAAAAAAAAATAAAAATTACATAAGAAAAAAAAATACAAAAGTAAAAATTAAAAAATAAAATAGAAAATGAAAACGAAAAAATTGCAAGTGCAGCAAAATTTAAGAAATTAATATTTTTGTTGTTGTTAATAGTTAATTTTTTTTTTCGCCAGCACAAAGTAATTTATGTGCCACTCGCTACTGCAATAAATACAAAATACGCATTACCGTTGCAAAGCGCCTGCACACTAAACTATTTACAGTTGGTTCACTGCCTGCGCTAACGTTTATATGCTGTACTCCGCATGTATGTATGTATAATTCGTAAATTTAATATCATATTCAAATAAGCTATACATATGGTAACTCTATACTCGTATATGTACATATTTCATATTTATTATGTATGTATTTATTTATTTATACATATATGTGTATATGTAAGTAGTAATATATATATACATATATATATTTATATTTTAAATATATTTATATATATATGTGCAGTAAATAAATCTTATTAGTAAAAGTTACATCGACAGTTAAACAGTTGAGAACAGGCAACTAACACCCAACCCAAACAATTAGCGGTGAAGCTGCTGAACAGCTGTTTAGTGACTGCACCGTAAACTCTCGCCCCACTCAGCGCGTACACTTGAAACCACACAACAAAAATTATGTAAAATAAAAAAAAAAAACGCCTGCGAACAGCCTGCCTCAACTTGTATTTGTAAATATATATAAATATATGTATGTATATCGTTCTCTTATATATATATATATATATATGGTATATATATGCATATTTATGTACATAAGTAGCATACTAGCTTTTATTTTAAGGTTAAATGTATGTAGTTGTATTATATATATATGTAATAATAAAAAAACTATTAATGCATATTTGCTGGAAAACTTAAAAACTTAATGATAATTACGAGATAATTGTAATAAAATAAAGAAAAATGTAAACTCACTTTTAGGCAAATAATTCATAACCGCCAACTGCTTAAATTATATAAACTACGCAACTACAAAAAAAAAAAAATATATATATATATATTATATAAGTGTATGCAAGTGCCAAATGTAGTGGTGGCGATTTGCGTAAAATCACCAAATCAAAAGAAAGATTTGTTTTCATATATTATTAACATTAAAAAAGGTAGCTAATTAATGCGCTTTATTCATATTTAATTCTTTTGCTAAATTGCTAAGTATGTAGTTTAACAACGTTCGTTCTAGTTTGTATGTGTAGGTATGTATGTTAAAAAAAAATTTATATGTATAATATATTATATATAGTTATTCATAAAAATATGCATGTAGTTTAGGAAATTTTTGTATAGCATGAATTTCAACATTGTTTTTGTTTTTTGTTTTTTTAAATTTTAACATTATATTTTTACAGCCAAACGAAGCCTAAATCATATGAAATTAATGTAAACAAAAGACAAATTATTTTTACTTGCAACATATTGTATATTACATATGCAGTTATGCTGCTGACACACATACATACATGTGTGTATATATATATATGTGTGTGTACAATTTACTTTAATACGAAGTCAAATTGAATTGTTACCAAATTTGTAACCGTCAAATTCATTGCTTCATTATTAAGTTAGTGAAATTGTTTGCGCGGGGCGTGGCAAACAGCCGCGCTGGAGTCGTTGCTCGCTAACGCAGCTGTCCCAATTATAGTGCCGCCGCTGTATTCGTTCTTTGCTAATTGTTAAATGTACGCTTTGTTTTTGGTTTTTTGTTGTTGCCGTTTTGTTACGCTCATCAAACGCTTATCGTGCTTCATTAAAATACATAGTTCTTCATTTTGTTTTGCTTTCAAGTCGCATTCGTTGCAATTCTTGGTTTCTTAGTTATATAAGCACTTGTAGGTATTTATGCTTTTTTGTATCCACGTACTTTTGCGGGATTTTCGTTTTGTCCAGTTAAATAATTTCTTTGCTTCATGCTCAAGTTTATGTCATTAATTTGTTGTTTTTTTTTTCTTCTAACTTTAAGTTTTTTTTTTCGTTTTGGTTAAGAAAAATGATATCACAAAAATTTAAAATGTATAAATGTAAGTAAATATGTATGTGCATATACATATACATAGTAATTGTAATAAGAGTAATTATGTATATTAAAACACTATACGCTAAGCATTGCAATGGAAGCAAACTTAAATATTAAACCTATATGCAACGCTTAAAGCCGCAATGGAGCAGAGAATCTACCGTTATTTCGAAGAGCACATTCTGAAGTGTGTACGCTTAGTGAGTTTGAATTCTTTCAAATAAACTCAAAGCATTATCACAGCAATGTACTTTTTCAATGCAATTATCCCTATCTCTCTCTTGCTCCTACAATATCCTTGCATTTTTTCACAAAATATCCAGTAGTTATAAAATTTAGTTTAGATTCGTACATATATAAGTATATACATAAAGTATAAGAAAACAAATCAATTTCAGTTATTACAAGCAAGGGTTGTAGTTGTTGTTATTATTATATACAAGTAGCTAGGAAGCTAAACCCTGCGCTATCAAATTGTTTTGGTTTTTGTTTCTGAGTTCAATGTTTCAAATTTGTTTAACTTATCGTCTACGTTTTAAAAAACCAAGTAGTAATCAATAGTAGTTATAATCGTATTTTTAGTAAAGAGTAATAGTAAAGGTCTGTATTGTTACACTAATCATCAAAAATTTTATACATTTTAAATTAGAAAAAAAGTATTAACTATATCAACTTTCTTCAAGAAAACAGCGCGCTAATAACTTTCGCTCACTTCCAACACGGCGAAAGCCTGTGTAACGACTTTCGACCGCTGCGCGCGCATCTCCTACCGCTTGCATGTACATATATATGGTATAGAGTAGTTTAAAAACAAATATTTTACAAAAATGTTTTTACACAATCTTTCATGCCAGCACATGCTAGCGCGCTGCACGCTCACATTTTAACATTTATAGGTTTTTAATTATTTACATTTTTACAAGCTTTTTACCACTCCTCCGCACACTGCACGACAGACAACGTGCGCATAACGCTGAGTGCTGTGTGGCACTTCTGGCGCCGTCGTTGCACCTTCCGCACACACACTTCTTCTACCGCATCATCCGCACCGCCAGCTGCGCTCGAAAAATCTTGACCGTCGTCTTCAGCGTTCTCATCACCCCCGCCTGCCGCTTGTGCAACACGCGGCCGCACGCCCCATAACGGCTATCAATCCCGCATCAAGTTGCGTAAGCGCGCCAAATGCTCTTGACGCTTACGCATCTGCTCCCTAAGCAAGTCTTTCGTATCGCAGAGCTGTTGATTTTCGCGTGTCAACGACTCGCATAACTTGGCCGCCTCTCGCAATATATTCACCTTGGGCGCGCGCTCCTTATCCTTAATGCTGGGTATCTGTTTCTTTAGCTCTTCGAATAGATTCTTGAGACCGATGCGCCGTTGACGTTCCATATCATTATGCAAATTACGCTTTTCAATAGTGTCGGCGCTTTCGTCGAGACTCAAGTGACGACGCATAGTGTCACTACCGCTGGCATTATGCAATGCGCTGTGATGGCCAACATGCTTGGAGGAGGATGACTTCTTGCCGCGATGTTTCTTACTCGGTGGCAATGTGTAATCCAGGTCGCGCGTGACGTCAGCACTGTGTGCGCTGACGCTGCTGCCGTGCACAGTGAGGCGTTTACGCGATTTATCCCCAGCGCCAGCGATAAAACGGTTATCAGCGGAAATTATATTACCTTGTTGTTGCATATATTTATTCGCATAGGTAGCGGTGTGATAGGGTGTGCCTGATGGTGAGGGATAACGTGAGGTAGCGACTGACTTCACGGGACTACTGGTGGCTGGCGAGCAAGGTAGCGTGTAGGCGCCGTGACGACGTGGCGGTATGGTACGTATGCCGTTGGGGTTCTTGACGATGCGCGCGGTAGAGAATCGGTAGCCGACTTTGTGTTCGATGGCGCGACGATCACGATCTGAAGGATTTGTGGGCAACTTCTTATCACTAACGGATACAACGTCGATTTCTTCATCTGCAATGAGAAAAAGTAAAGCAAGTCATTAGTCAAGTGTATCTTAAACAAAGTATAGAAAGTTACAATTAAATATATGAAATTAGGCGCTTTTAAAACGCCACTGTTGCTACCAACATGATTAATTAAAAGCTGTATATACAGCTGCCAACAAGTTCATGGTATCAGCTTATGCGTATCGGCGGGCCAAATGTCTTGCCGCAATATTTCAAAATATACGATAGCATCTTACAAATCATATAATAAATTGCTTTTAAAAGCGGGGTGGGGCCAACTAACGCGTATGAAATCACCCTACACACTAAGTGAGTTTCATTTCATTGCGAAAAAAATGCGCAAATTTAGAAAATATATCGAACAACACGTTCCCATTAATCAATAACAGACGTGCGACGCCACCCTTTGTGCAGCAGCAAGCATAGAGCTTCAAATTTATGTGTAAATACGTTGGTATAGTGAGTGAAAGGCATTGAAATATATGTGGAAACATGCTTACAAAACGATTGTATAAACATGTCGAAATGGAGCAATGCGTTAGAGGTTTAGAAAAACTATGCAGAAGCACAAATCAGTGAAGAGACAGCAGGCCAGTAGCCAACGCGCCAATCAGCCACCCACTCACCCACGCAAATAAGCGAGCACTCGCACAAAGTGAGCATGAAAACTATTTCAGCGAAAATAGAATACTAATAGATGATATCCTAATAAATATATGTACGTTAAGATACACGCGTGTTGAGCATTAAATGCAAAATGTCAATGGCTTTAGAGCCATGTCGCTTTACTTATTGAACAGCAGCGAAGCGTTGGGCGATGAGAGTGGACGTCAAAGTAAACCATGGAGCCACCAGACCGACATTTCCCGACGTCAGCAAGCAGTATGATGTCACTAAGCGCCAAATGCTCTAGCAATCATCCACCCACCTACCAACAGAATCTAAACAAACGCCAAGGCAGCCAAGTTAAGTCAAGCCGTCAGCTGTCAGTGCATGCAGATAAAGCAGATTGTACACCCACTCAGCCCACTTGATTTATTTCCACCGACTCGGTGAAAGAGCGTTACCCATAAGCCTAAATATATTACAGAGTTTGTATGTATGTAAGTCACTTATACAATGCTAAAGAGTAGGTGAAAGGTATCAGAATTCAGGAAGCAAATGACACTGGCCACTGTCGTGGTTCGTAACATATGCTAACGAAGGTGGGCGTGCTGCTGTCAATGAGCTCAACATCCCTCTAAATATCTAGAAAATCTAAAAATAATTGTGCGCTTAGCTATTTTCGGCGCTGTCAATATGTGAAATTTGAACTCGTGTGACCTTTGGCCGTTTCACTGGCCTTTTGTGACAAGATTAGCGGCGAAATAGCGAACGGCCTAGAAAAGCTTTTTATAGCAAAAAAAATTGTAGCAAATAAGTGCCGTAAAGAAAAAATTGATGTGATAAAAATTTCGCTGGCGACTGAATAGTGGCGCCACATATTTCTTGGCCTAGCAGCGAAATTTGGTAGTAGAGCTGTATGAAAAAGTAATTGTGCAAAAACAAAACTAAACAAGTAGGATGGTTTTACAGTTGCATTACGAAGTTGTAGCGCGCGATTTTTGTTCGGGAAATAGTGTCAAAGTAGTGACAGTTGCAGTGCGGCTTGTGTGACCGCGCCAAAATTGAGCAACCAAGTTACAACATCAAGTGCCTGCCTAGAGCTAATAAAAAGCTTTACTAAATTAGATTTGACATAGCATAAAGAAAAGTCAAAAATCAGAGCAGAAAGTGGGTTAATAGATATAATATATTTTAGGGCAAATAATTTTATTACCATCATGCAGGTCAATAAAAAGTTTCATTTTATTTTTGTAAAGTGAAAAATAATAACGATGAAAATTAATATACATAAATAAAATTTTTTAAAAATTATTTAAGACTATCAAAAAATAATTATTAAAATGATTATAAAGAAAAAAATTTAAAAGAAAATATATAAATAAAAAATATCTTTAAAAAAAATGTATGATAATAATTTCTAAAATTTCTAAATTTCTCTAAATGCGCATAGACGTCTGAGAGATACATATATAAAATTATTCTAACAGCAATGCCAAAGAATGCATAGCAAAAAACCCACAAATTACTAAACAAAATTGTAAATTAAAAGAAAAAAAATTAATAAAAAATGATTTCCTAAAAATACAACAAAGCTACGGCAACACACCCCGTTTTTCACAGACGCAATTGCTGCACTATGCGTGGGGCGATGTTAACCAAAAAAAATCACCAAAAACTGTGCCAACACCAAAACAACAACAATACACATACACATAACGCTACCGCAGCTGATGCTCAAGTCAAACACGCTCGAAGGAGCAAGACGCTGCGTGTGCGGTGCGAAGCGCGGCGAGCGGTATGCTGATATGCCAGAGTGAACCATGATATGCGAAGAGAGAGCGACAAGGCAAATAGACGCACATTCGCACGCAAAACTCATACGCTCGCACTGCCGAAATTTTTATTGGCAACAACAACAGCAATAAGCATGGTATTATTAATGTAACGACGCCAACGAGCGACACACTTAAGTCTTTTCCGCATAGCAACAGCTAATTTTCGCTTTTCTTTTTGCGCTTTGGTCGTACGCAAAAGAAAATAAATTCTTTTGTAGGCCTCCTCTTCCAATACTGTATATGTAACCAGCGCAGCCGGGTAGGCACAGTTAGTCGCTGCTCTAAGTTCAATTTGACTTTGCTTCGGCTTTGGCTATTTGGCGAAATGGCATATAACGGCATAATGGGCTGACGCTAAGTGACTGTCAGTGTTGGGATTGTCGAAAAGGTGGTGGGGTAGGTACAGTGTGAGCACACAGACAACGTTAACTAGTTAGTATGAGTGAGATGTACTCGTACGTAAGCATGCGAATTGTCGGCTATCAGGCTGTTGGCAAACGCGTGAGCAGCAAGTCATGTGCTGTAGCGAAATGTAATCAATGAGTAAAACGTATTAAAAAAAAATTGTGCAATAAAATTCGTATATGTTGGCGTCTTGTGTTTACACATACATATGTTTTTAGGTAGTTGTATATTTTTGGTTGGGTAAACTTTCGGTAATGTTTATTTTTCAAGTTTCAATTTCAGAGCTTGTGCTTATTTTGCTTGCTTTGAGAATATAACACAAATTATTGCAAAGTTTTTTTTGATTTTGAATTTTTACTATTTTCGTGTGAATTTTTTGTGGTCTATGTATGGAAATATTGTTTTTTTTTTATAACATTTTCATCGTTATTTATAATAAAAAATTATTTTTAATGTTCAGTGAAAATCAAATGTTATACATTTTATGATTACATAAACGACAACGCACAAACGCAAGTACAACAATTTATTAATGGACGCCTTATTAACGTATAGAAATGCCGGCTGTTATCACTGTGACTGCGTGTGCAAATGGAGCGAGCGCTAATCATCGCACTTGTTGGCGCTACATGCTAATATGCTTAATAAAAGATTATTATATACATTCAAAACCAGGTCGTAATTACGTACGTACATATTACGCAAAAACGCCACGCAAGTGGCCAAGCTACTGTATTTTGAATACAAAAAGCCTTCCAATCGCGCTGGCCGCTCGCAGTTGCGATTAGAATTTGCAAAATTATGTTGCGACGTGTTGTCAAGCGCGACATACGCACACATATGTATGTATTTAGGTATAAACTGCGTATAGCCGGATAGCGCAACTATTACAACACCTCCGCAAAGTCAAGGCCTGATGAATAAATCCACAAAAAGTAATATGCTGCGCAAAATTATCTAACAGCAATGTGCAGAAAATACAATTTATGGCCTGAATCTTTCGAAACACTCATCTTTTAGTTTAGAAAAAAAGCGTGTTGTGTTGTTGTTAGTCTGCTTGCCCACAACAACGCTTATTAGCTTTTTAGCATACAAATATATGTATGGACATACATAAGTATTTGCTAATTTAATTATTGCAAAAATATAACAGAAACATTTAGAGAGCTTATATGGCTGAGCAAACGTGGGGCGGATGAGTGACATCAGTATACAGTGCGCTACAAAAGTGCAGATAAGTAAACACATGCCTATTTATTTATCAAAAAATAAGAGTATGATATACTGTTACGGAGTAATGTGTCGCAATTATCAGAGACTTTCCGATCATACATATGTACAGCTAAAAGCTGGGTTGCTTGCGTAACAGTAGGTGTCAAAAAGCTGCGACACTAATAACTGTAATAAATATTATTATGGGCGTCATTGCCACATCAAGGCACGTTGACATAATTAGCGAAAAATCTCTGCATAATATTTGATTAGTTAAACTCATACGCCAAAATTGGGAGAGTGGCGATTCGTACAAACAACTGGCATAATAAAACCGCTATGGATAAAGATATTTAAATAATAAAAATTAGGAGTAATTTGAATCAAACACTACTAGTAACTAATCACACTAGTTATAATATACACCAAAAATAACTAGTAATATACTACTGCATATCAAACTAGGAACAATCAGGTTTACAAACCGTTATGAAAAAATGCTTATATTCAGTTTTCACAAACTTTTCTACATCTATAGCTACATAAGTTCAACTCGACCCAAACTAGTTACCGACGCACCACTATTGCACCCATTTAGAACTTAAATGATGTTTTAAACACAACCTCGATGTAATTTATATGCAACGAAGCAATATTTGAAAATAAATTAAACAAAACATCAAAGTAACTACAAGTACAACACCCTGAGAACTGCGCGACCTTTAAAGCAATTTGCAATGCCAAACTGTGAATAATGCATGTAAACACACACTGATTTAAGCAGAACGCAGCTTCCATTAAAACACACTATTGACGTCTCTTCTCAAGCACGCACACGCAATCTTTAGAAATTTAACAACACATTTCACGGCAAATTGCTGAACTCCAAATCAATTTCAAACGACAGGAGGCACAAGAAAAAACAGATTACAGCTCAAAGCATAAG